CCTGTAAGGCGTATTCTGTGGAGGAAGATTGTGAGCATGGCCTCCTGGACTACCTAGCCCGACATCATTGCAGTAGAGAAAACATTTTTTTTTCCCCTTTTTTCGTTCACTCGCGACACTATAAAATTCAAATTTATGGGACATTGTCGCCCCTGTGTCCCACCCCCGAAAAGTTCGGGTACTGACAAAAACATCGTAATTTCATAACATGGCGGAGGTACTGGTGGTTTAATAGTTTACAAAACCTTTTCTTAACTTTTTTTTTTTAATCCACAAAACCTTTTGTAACCTTTTTTTTTTTTAATCCATCAACCTGTACTTTTTCTTCCATACGTCCCTCATGATCCATTGTATGAATATTTAAATAATTTGTGACCGTTTCTTATTTAAAAACGTAATAAAAAACATGAATATTTAAATGATTTGTGACCCTTTTTTATTTTAAAACGTAATAAAAAACAGTTGTGAAAAAAAAGTGATAAAAATTAGAAAGTGTGATAAAATTAAAAGAAAAATTCACAATTTCTTCCGTGTTTTTGCTAATGATGCTTACAGCCTTGAGTTGTTCTCTCGCGTTGTATACGTTTGGCATGAAACTCTGTGTGACCAAGTGTGACATGGTTTCATTGCACATGAACAAAAAAAATTGTCAATTTTACCATTTATGGTTGCTTTTATGTTATCCGAAGGATTTAGTAACCAATCCAATAAGATTTATGAACACTTATGCTAAGGAACAATTTGTTTGAATTTTCGTTTTTGAAATGTTGCTGATGTCATCTCCCCTGTCCAGTACCAGATATTTGTTCAAAAACATATTATATGATTTTCCAAAACTGATTCACTTCTATACTTTGTCATGATTTGTGCGACATTGACAAAATTCGTAAATCGAATACATAGAAACGTCAACAGACTCAATTGGTCCATCTATAAAATGTTGATATATAATAAAATAGGCGACCAAATGAAGTACATAAAACAATTATCAATTAAATGGTTTGGTTAGTTTAATGATGCTCTCTCAAAGCCTTTTTTTTTTTTTTTTTTTTTTAACATGCAATGATATAAAGATAGACTGGGCGCATCTACCTCTGTATCTCAACGATGCATTACCACACTACTAGTAGTTGGCCTTTTGTCTTATGATTGACCTTCACCTTTAGGCATAGGGGCTGACCACACTACCCTTGAATCTCGAAAAAAAAATAGAGAGAACTCTTTTATGACTAAAACTAGAAAATTCATCTGTGGTGTGCGTTTCAACACATTACATATTGAACTCACACTCTCGGATCGTAGACCATGCGCATTACATTTTGAACTCACACTCTCAGGCCGTAGACTATATGCACAACTGACTTTCAAATTTTGAGGCAAAGGACATTGCCACACCAGTTTTGAATTCTACTGCTTTGAGAGTAAACATGTCGCGATACATGCTCTCGATCTGATCTCCTTTTCTTGGGAGTTGTCAAAAGGAGTCCGAGAGCATTGTCGAATTCCAACTGAACTTCCGCTTGGAACCGTCGCAATTTTGAGAGACGTATCTGGTCCCTTCAAGTTTGCCTTGAAATTCAAAAGTCGATCGTGGCGGCAGAGGGTCTGATTCCCATTGCACACACGTCTCGAGCGGTAATTCTCTACTTTTGCAGTTCCATAGCACTCTCAACTTTTTCCAAGATTTGGAGTGTTGTAGTGAGACCCAAGCTCGGAGGATCGTGAGGTCTCTCATATTTTGAGAGTTGCAAGTGGGAGCTCCCACGAATTCTAGAGCTCTCCAATTGGGGCTCCTGACAGCTCCCAACTTCTTCTCCAATGAGCACATTTCAAGAGTGGTGCCGTGACACCATGTTCTTGAAAATTCGGATTTGGGAGGGGTGTGGCGAGTCCCATAGTTCTTGAAGATTCGGGATTCGGGAGGGGTGTGGCCAGTCCCATAGATACTGCTAAGTGAGGCCTGCTAAGTGACACCTGCCTGGGACCCAACTGAAAAACTCGTGGCAGGCATGCTCTTCTTTTTACATATATATATATGTATATATATCGTCAAATATATATATATATATATTTTTTTTGCGACAGCCTTGAGATATCATCATTGAGCTGACCGGGCCCAGGCAATTCAGAAATAGTTGGTTTTACTCATCAAGCAAAGTTCCTTCATCTGGGTTCGAGCACGGGTCTGTATTTCAACACTTCAATGGTGTACCCACTGAGCTAGGCTCTTGTTTTTTTTCTTTACTTTTCTTTATATTTTTTTGGGAGATAGGCCCGACCTCTTGTATGCTACGGAGGATTTGAACCCTTGTCTCGTTCACTAACAGTTTGGTGCACCATTTCAACCACATGGGCTGGTTGTGCTCTGGTTAGGCATGCTGAAGCGTTTTGGCGGGTAGTGTGAAACGAAGGTCCGCCGCGGTTTGTACGCTCGTCGACCTATCGAAGTCGGGGGTTCCAGCAAATCACGGTTGTTACCGGTTGGTCATCGTATCTCCGC